CGCTGCTCCACTGACAGTCTATCGATGCCGTGTGGACGAGTGTGCATATCGAGATCACAGACGTGACAATGTCCTCAACCATGAAGCGACACACCACCCGGGAGAACACAACCGAAACAACGTCGTCACTATTACTTATGACCGTGCCGACTTGGAGGCTTTGATCAAGGCTGATCAACAAAGGGCCTCACGAAGATGATTCAGCAAGGACTTTTTTCCATGATAACAGACTTTGGCATGCTTGATTATATTTCATGAAGGACGATGCTACCCCACAATTACAGATAGAACTTTCTCGCACACACATCACCCTCTTTTGTTTATATTTCAGTAACTACTTATATCAATACCCTTCCCAGACCCACACAAACGCTAATAATTGCACTAGTCACCTCTCCTCTGACCAGCAGACCTGGGACCACATCATTGTTTGTGAGGAAAGTTATGAGTTATGGGTGGCCGACCATGCCGCCAATGCGAAATGTAGTACCACAGGCATCCGCATTCAGTGAGTTCTGATGAGTATTTTTTTCCAGTGTAAGTTCAGTTTATCTCGGGCCTGCCTATTATTGGATCAGACATCTTAGTGTCTAGTGAAAATGTTGTTTCCAATATTTATAGGCCTCAAGTTCAGAACGATGTCTGTCTGGTTTCAAGCAGGAATTTGGGAGATCGTTATGGGTATGTTGATTGTTTGGTGATGTACATGTGGGATTTTGCTCATCAATGTCAAGTCCGATCAAGGTGGGACTCGCAAAGTAGAGCAGTCAGCACCGTGAACCCTGGAAGGGTGAAGACGAAACGGTGTTCACAGTACAGGGCTGAGTGTCGAGCATTATAGACAAGTAAGATTGTTGACAGATTCATGGGATCAGGATCGTAGGAGTTTGATAGATTGAGTTGAAGTGGACTATGATTAGAAATTGAATTATTGTTGGGAAATGAAATTGTTCCGTGACCTTTTATAGACGACATCTTGATCAGTCCATTTCTGTAATCTGTCTTATACACCATCTCTCGTCGCTGGCCGGCTCCTTCCATTACAACTCTACCATCACCATTACCCTTTCCCCTACCCATTCTACCCTCCCCCTACCCCTAATCATCATCCACAATGTCGAACATGCCATGGGCTAAGCTTAGTGCCAAAAGTGCGCCCGTCTCCACAGATTGCGCCATACTATCACTCATTCGACATTTTCAGAGACCAAGGACAGCAAAGAGAATGGGGTCATCTCACGATCAGTAACCCCAATACCTTCGCGCCCGACTACCCCCAAACCACCCAATGGATCTGATCAATTCAGGTCTGGCATGCTCACGATCCGGATATTCTCTGGTGCGGGCTTTCTCATGATCTTACACCACAATATATACATACTAACTCACTGTAGGGCGTGGGCTTTCCCTTGCGCCTGGTGTGCAAGTACCCGAGGTCATCCAGAGGGCCCTAGAGTCTGCACCGCCGTCCCGCAAATCAACAAGCAGCAATCGTGACAGCATCCAGGGTCAACGTAAACGTTTCTGGTGGCTCCCATACGTCGTTCTCGAGTTCGACAAGAACGAAATTCTTATTGATGGATTGGGTGGAGACCTGACCAATCCATTGTGGAACTACCGCGCTGATTTGTGCGTCATTCCTTTGTTGCGCCTTCTCATTAATCGCGTCTCATCAATTCATAACAGTGATGTATCCCGTACTTCCAATATATCGGTTTCAGCATATCTACGAACAACGACAGCCGGTCAAGATGACATGGGCAATGATTTGCTCATGGCTCGCGTAGACCTCGTTCCCATGCTTGAAGGCCACGCAAGTTGCCGTTTTTTTCGTATCATTACGCTACTTCTTACCTTCCACTCTTCAACAGCATGCATCTGACCAATGGTATAGCGCCACAGCTGGGTCTGGGGCCTTCCACCTTAAAATAGACTTCAAACCCATTCGCAATGAACCACTTACTATCGAGGCCTTTGATCTGTTGAAAGTGATCGGTAAGGGTAGCTTTGGGAAGGTCATGCAAGTGCGGAAGAAGGATACACAGCGAATATATGCACTCAAGACAATCCGGAAGGCACATATTGCCCAGCGCCCGGGAGAAATCACTCACATTTTGGCAGAGCGCACAGTACTCGCCCTCGTAAACAACCCTTTCATCGTCCCCCTCAAGTTTTCTTTCCAGAATCCTGATAAATTGTATCTTGTGATGTCTTTTGGTATGGGCCGATATCGGAGTATGAATACGGGCGCTACTGATATTTACTCCACAGTCAACGGAGGTGAACTGTTCTATCACCTACAGAGGGAAGGAAAATTCGATCAGGATCGAAGTCGTTTCTATGCCGCAGAATTGCTTTGCGCTTTGGAACATCTCCATGGGTTCAATGTTGTATATCGGTATGCCAATTTCTTCTATTGTCAGCGCTACCATGTGAAGTAAGTTCTCAGGGATTTGAAACCTGAGAATATTCTTCTCGATTATACCGGCCACATAGCACTTTGCGACTTCGGTAAGTCTCCCCTTCACCTGCCTATTAACAAGAACTAATGATCCTCATATAGGCTTGTGTAAACTCAATATGAGTGAAACAGAAAAGACTAATAGTAAGTCCTTGTTATTGCTATGTTGAACTTAACCTTATTATATACCCTTCATTTAGCTTTCTGTGGGACTCCCGAGTATATCGCACCCGAGCTATTAGAGAGCCAAGGCTATACGAAGACGGTGGATTGGTGGACACTCGGGGTTCTCCTTTACGAAATGATGGTCTGTGGTCTAATTACTTTTAATACCATGAAACTCAACCTACTTCAGACTGGGCTCCCACCGTTCTATGATGAGAATGTTAACGCCATGTATCAACGGATTCTCACTGATCCCCTTAATTTCCCCCCTGACATGCCTTCAGAGGCGCGCAGCGTCATGACCGGCTTGCTCCAGCGAGACCCAGCTCGACGGCTCGGCGCTAATGGAGGGGAAGAGATCAAGAGACACCCATTCTTCGCCAAATACGTAGACTGGAACAGGTATACTCTTCCCGCGGACGGTGCACTATACCAAACTAATTCTGGCCCGTAGATTGTTGGCCAAAAAAATTCAACCACCATTCAAGCCTAGCGTTGTGCGTATTGATCCCAATGTTTCACCCTTCAGTACTGACGTGACCTTTTAACTAGGAATCCGTTCTGGACGTCGCAAACTTTGACCCAGACTTCACCAATGAGGAAGCTCAAGATTCCGTTGTGACTGATTCGGCTTTGTCTGAGACCGTCCAGGACCAATTCCGTGGCTTCACATACAATCCTGCAAATGAACATTTGAGTGAGAGCGTCAGCTACCCCAGCGCAATCTAAACCTTTTTGAATTCCTCAAACGCCCGTCCCTCTGGCAAAAACCACACAAACCCACATAGGCCTTTTTCAAAAATCAGCTTCACCCCCCATCCTCTCTTGACATCTTTGTAGCCCCATGTAACTATATACCACTTATTCCTCGTTGCTACACATTGGGCCAGTCTATTATTTAACTCCCCACGCATGTGGACATTCTCTTTTTCGAATTCGTCTGTTCTTTCTGGGTTTCGCGAACTACAGTATATATATATTGCCTGTACATATGTGTATTGCGATCCTTATGAAACCTGTATCCTTGGCCTTTCACTACGATTACACTCGTGTCTTTTGAATGTTTATCTTGTATTTGGTGTGCAAATGCGTTAAATAGCAATAAAATCAAGGGTGAAACACAAGAGGGTATACAAGTTATAATTACATTGATCAAACTAGCCTGAGTGGAACTTAGTAGAGATGAAAATGAGACACCGATCCTGCGGCCTCCCTGCATCCACACTCCAATCTCCCATGCCATCTACAACATCAGATGTCACGTAAGTTTTTCAAACTGCAAAAACTCGCTATCTCTAGCATAGTTGGTTTTTTCACCCATTCGTATCTCGGGACGATACCGCGACAACGGCATCTTGAATATATGTTTGTGGCCACGGCCATGTTGCGTGAGGGAGTAACGGAGCGTCATCACTGCTATAACAAAACCTGTTTTGAGCACCTGTCAGAAATGTATTCGAGTTGGTGAGTAATATGAAGCATACAAACTAGAAACTCGACCCAAACAAGTGCTTTCAGCGCCTGAAGGTCCTTGCACCATACACGCTCGTCGGAGAAGGCTGAATGGGGATAAATCAGGAGACCTTGTGTGGTATTTAGGAACGTACTTAGGGGGATTTCAGAGCACTCGAATGGGATCATGCGCCAGCGGGATGTAGAAAAGGCATTGAAAGCTATACGCCATTTCAGTTCGCAAGTATGAATGGGAGATCGCGCATTACACACCTAACCAGAAAATGGTCAATAGTCCCAAATACCCAATCTCAAACTGCGGCCAGCCAGTGAAGGAGCTTTCGAGAGCAAAGTCCACCGTGATCCTATTTTGGAGGTAAGAATCGCAATGACTGCATGACCTGTAATTCGAGGCTTACGTAGCGGCCAGTAAAATAAGCGTCACGATAGAAAGTGCAAAGGGGAATATATCAGCGATATCTGTCAGCGCGTTGTTGTTAAATTGACAAGTACGCCATGATCGGACTCGTACTCACAAAAAAACTCTTGAAAGTTGTTGACACGGGTAGCAAGGGCCAAAACAACGATGTTTATAATGAAGAGAATCACTAAGTTCACAAAAAAAGAGAATAGAATCATCAACATAAGATTTAAACTTGATTGGGGTAGCTACGCTCGCACCATGGGCAGTAACCTTCACTCTGCCGACCGGAGAAAAGGTCATTTTAAAGGAATGTGGGCTAAAGAATGACGAAAAGTTTGAAATGGAAGACTACTGGACTCAAAACAAAGGTGAACAAGGAACAGGAACGATTTGGATACTTGGTGGTCATGGTCGAGGCGAGGTTATGATGGTCGGCAAGGCAACGCAGTGCCAAAGACAACCAAAAATATTTTAATTCTTGAACCTTATATCCTATAATGCATTAAGAGAGAATCGAACTCCCGGCGGGTCGAATCGTACGCGTACGTTAATTCTGGCAACGACCCAGGTTACCACTACCCCATTAATGCTCTACCGATTAAATTACTTATGGGATACCTTGTCTGAAACACTTACCATGCTGGCGAGTAATCATCGAGTCGTCAGGAACTTACTCAACGGTCTGTCTGAAATTCACCGAAACACGGTGTCATACCATACAATCCTTTGAACAATACATACAAAAGATTTTGGGGAACAACACAAACAACCCATATTAATATTAATATTAGGGTGCTCCAAATGTAATTTCCTTCCCGTCTGATGACTTTGATTTGACATTGCCGATGTAGGCCCACTGCGGAGGAGTCAGTGAAAGTTATAAGGATATCGTGGTTTCTCACATTAAGAAAACCTCCATCACCCTGCCTGGTGAACTTGCCTGACTTGAAATAATATATTTCATACCTAGAATTTGAATCAGTGTTACTGTCGAGTATATTCCAGAATTTGGCTGACCCGACTGTCCCACCAATTTTGACATCAAATTCTTGGTGGCTATGACCCCAGTCTTTGCCCCTCGTGCCGTCGAATGCTGTTTTGTGTTTCGTATGGCATATCACCCAATTGAACTGGGGGCTCTTGGCTCTCATGTCGCCTACCAACTTTTGAGTAAAGTTTCCACGGTTCTACATAATTTACACTTCATTAGCAGTGAAGAATAAATTTAGATCCTGTTGATCACCTTTTTGTCCTGGGCAATCCCTGCTTTGATGCTCCCGACTACGTTCATAATTATTTCCACGACATCACCAATACCACCACGTCGGGCTTCCAACATATCGGCCTCCGAGATAGGCAAAGCCCGGACTTCAACATCGGCGTCCATATTATAATAAGATGGCATTGCTCTCGTTACGACCATAAGACTGCAGAGGGCAAAGAGAATCGACCGTGCGAAGGATAATTGCATTTTGTTTGTGGGTGGTGGATGTGCGCGCTGCGTACAGACTCAGACCTGCTGTGTGGGGATTTCTCTGATACAAAGTGCAGCTATTTATGCATATCGAGGGCAAAAGATCGTCAGATATCCCTGTTTCAGCATTTTCAGTTTTTCGGGGTTACTGTCTGCGTTTCCAAGAGATTCGGAACACATTATGCATACTGGTGCATAGCATCGGAGCGTAACCCGACCCGCGACCATCACCACTGATCAGTAACGTTCGCTGGATTTCGTTTAACTCCGGACTGATTTCAAGTGATCCGAGGCCATATGCATTAGACACCAGTAAAAGAGCCAAGGGATATAGCACAGTCATGCCTCCTGGGCGTCACTCCGTAATGCTAACCCGAACAGTTGTTTAGATGTTGTGATAGTAATAGTGTCAAGGATTGATCAGTATGCCTGGAGCATCCATACGGAGATTTTGTGCAAGAACGCCGTAGTTTGTTCGGGCGCTCCAAGGTGGCCGAATGTCAGGTATAGCATCAAAGGAGGTGGTGGTGAAGGGAGAGAAAGGACTCTAAAACGTGCATCATGAAATTCATGATACTTCACTACGGCAAATTCCGGGCTTTGATCACCGTTGACAAAATTAATTTAATTATGATATACATTGTTACGGAATTGCTGCTACTGTACCACTCCACATACCTGAAGTCCTCAAATAAGGATAGAAATTGCTGTAGCTTCCGGGTCCATGACATCGTAAGGAACTGTCTGGTCATCCATCGCCTCACTATTCTTCTTGAATAGAGTAATAAGCTCGATGAGTTGTGCGTAGAACTGGGCAGCGGCGTGGATCACAGGTGCGTTGTTGTCACCAATTGCCAAACTTGCGATGGATAAGGCGTAGTTTACTAGGTTCTGCTCTGCGGCAACTCTCGAGCTTAAGAGGTACGGCAAGTGCGACGCCAAAAGCCACTCGCGCACGCGGTCAACGGGAAGGGCCTGTACTAATTGCGGCTCCTTGAACGTCAACAAACTTTGGAGTGAAGTGGGTTGCGGTGCGCAAAGTGCTGGAGGCTTGTTTATGACGAAGGACTGGTAATATTGTTGCAGGTAGTTGACAGCTGTGTGCTGTGGCGAAGCAATGTGGATGCACATAACAATGGCATCGACCAGACTGTCAATTGTGGTTATGATGGGGAATGAGCTCAGAGCACCTCCGGTCGGGCTACGCATCTCTGCGCACCATGCGGCAATGCTCGTGTCGTTCGCCACCTGCTCATCGGTGGTATATTCGGTCGCAAGAACGGATGACACAAACGTTTGAAGAACGCGCCACATGAGAATCATATTTCTCCCATAAGCGTAATTGTGGAATTTTTTGCTCGTCGAAATTTCCTCGATGGGGAAACCCCGTTTCTGCAAGTCATTTGGGATATATCCTCCCGTCCAATCGAAGCGACTATAAGTGTTTTTGCCGAATGTATACAACTGTTCTTCGGTAAGACCAACAATTTTGTTGATGACATTAGGGACTAATGTCGAACGCGCTGCGGCATTCAAAGATAAGGTCTTCAACCAGTGTGGCGATAGCAGTCGGAACACCACGTGGCCTGGATCAAAGGAACGATGTGTAGCAACGATGACCACCTCCTCAACAAAATGGGTGTTTACCAAGTGAACCTCCACTTCATGGCGCAGGAAATCCGATACTTGCGCACATGTCTTGGCGTAACGCCATGGCCAGTCACTTGCCTCGGAATCTGTCGAATCTGACGGATGCAACCGTTTGTTGAAGATTACGACCGAGCTTTCCACACTCTCTTTATAGTCGATGACTATCGCTAAGGGATGAAGCTTCCCATCAGAATCTAGCCGAAAAAGGCTGACGGTGGCGCATCCAAAGCGCGTCTTGTCATCAGATTGTAGGGTTGCTCCAGGAGGCGCGCCAGCGACCTTGCGGAAATAGCTACAATCCTGGATATAAAGGGAACCGTCGGTGCTAGCAGTACCCAGGAGTTGTATCATTGCTGTATTCCCCTGAGCACTTGCCGCTTGTTGGAATTTCTGTACCCAACCCGCAGATGCTGTGGTAATAGTGGCAGGATTGGGACCGGTAAATTGCTGTTGGGCGAAGACAGCATCGGAATACCAGTCAGAACGATCTCCGATGTTGGGCTGCGCGAAAATATCTTTCCCTTCACTGCGTAGGGTTTTATTACGTGCTTCCATCCCGGAAATGGTATTAGCCATAGGGTTGTCATGAAGTTGTTTGAGGATGAAGTCAGGGATTATTCTCGTAAATAGGGTAGCGGTATCCGCCAGGCGCATGGCGTTAAAGATGCCCAATAGCCCCACTTGATCTGCAGCGGGAATTATCGCAAGATGTGGGGAATATTTATCGCTCCCCGGTTCTTGGAATGTGTAAAGGTTTTTCTTCGAGTCCAGGCTAAATGCCTGCGGGATGGAAGACTCGAAGTTAGCTACATCGAAGAACGCGCCGAATCTACAAAAATTCAGTGAACGAAGTCATCTGACTCTCCAGAAAAACCCTTACCGGTCCTCAATTCGATTGTATAGCTCTGTTGCTGCAGTCCGTGTGCCACGGTATGTACCATTTGCAAGCGGTGGGGGAGTGGGAAGGGAATTTTTCAGAGGTGAATGAATCTTTGATTCAATGGAACGCGGAAGGATTCCTTGTCGAATTAACTCGGATGCAAAAATACCCTTATCCCAGCCCCATGGCCGAGATTGAAGGGCTTCCTCGATATCAGTGAGCAGTGATGTAGACATATTATCGATGAGAAGTCAAGAGGAATGGGTATGTATGGGCATAGGATCCTGGCGGGTGTCTTTATAAGTACGGGAACCCCGACCGTCGACCAAGGGTTGGTGTCGGGGCATCCAAGCCACCGGCTTAGGTACCACCTCCTTGATAATAGTAAGGCAGGAACACGCAAGCCATAAAACCGCTTCATATCCGACTCTCCTCAGGTAGCACTAAATACTGAAAATAGCGCTCATTTATCATCTTAATCAAGTCCATGCAAACCGGATGTCCCGCATCACCGTTCACCACTTACTGGGCCTGCCCTGTTGCGTTCCTTGCCCTTGGCACACAATTTCCCCAGTAAAACCCTGGTATAGTATCCATTTAGCCAGCGCCCAAACTGCGCCGGATCTCTCTTGGTTCTCTCTCCGATATGACCTAACTGCATGAGCATTCAAATATTACTTACAATGGTTGATGACAAGAAGCGAGTCATATTCGCTGATTTCTAAGACCTTAGCACACATACATATGATGATGAAGGTGGCCTTGTCATCCCGCGTACTGATACCCATCAAAAGGTTCCAGAGGTGTCCATCAACAGATCCGGGGATGCTGTGTATCCTGCATATTCATATCCATACATACCGTAAAGGGTTTACCGCAAAAATAAATCATCATAAAGTACTCCAAGATACAAGAACTCGGCACGAGCTGGGTTTATCTTGGCTGCTATAAATTCCGATCTTATTCGGAGTTGGCGTCGTTGAACGAAAATATTTACAGGGAAAGCAAAGATGAGAACAACCATCTACGACACTGATGGAGGGCCGATGATGACTTCAAGAGTACGAGGCAGTCATTAGTCGACTAAAATTTGTCGGAGATATTGTTGATGTCCGATTTATGTCGGGCAACTTAGTAACATTCCGAACGCCACGATCTTATTCGAACAAAAATCAGGTTACTCCACCACCGAGGCAGATCAGCGTGGTTCGCGGATACAAACATAAAAATTCAAATGTATAGCAAACTTCTTCCTTGGAAGTTTTTTTCCTTGATTGAAAACAAAACACGATGCATGCGAGGTTCATATAAGTTACATGTATTATGAGACGAATGAATTGCCAATCATGGCCCTCCAGACAAAGCCAAAATCTTGGTCACCGCTTGCTCAGCCATCGACATGATCATCCCATGGGGATTACTCATGGGCATCTGTGGAATCTGCGAACAAAAAATCCGAATTAGACACAAATCATAGTGATTTTGATGAGAGTTGCGTACGATTGATGCCTATGAAAGGAAAATATGATCAGAAGTTATCCAATGGACCTGATGGGAAGACACGTACATCAACCACGAACAGATTG